ATAACCTAGTAGGGACGCGCAGAGCGAATCTCGTTTACGTATGCGCACGATTCTGATTTAATGGTAACGCGATTCCGGACGTAAAACTCGAAACATTTATTTACATATGCACAAAGCGGTCATGTATTAAGTATTATTTTAGGAAAAACTGACAAGCAAGCCAGCTGCTTCCGGTATATGAATATAACATACCAAATGCATAGACATATCGCTGAAGCCAAGTCGTCTCTAGCCCGCGTGCTAGGTCAGGCTTCCATGTCGCTTCCAAACTAACCTTTCTAGTGTTAACAACAGCCAGGTCCGGTGCCTTCGCGTATCACGGAACAAAAAACCCGTGTCAAACGCAGAATTCTTTATGGTGCCCACTATGGAATTGGGAGGTCGTAAGATGCCCGATGTCAGAAAAATGCATCTGGTAGATTCTCGTCTGGACAAGATTACAGCTAGATTCGACGCAAGCGTAGATGTTTCTGGGTATGTACTCGTCAACGGGCCCCTGTGCCGACTCAAAGGGAGCATCGCGCTGCTGCAGATTGCGCAAGCCCAGTCTGAAACCGCAATTATGCTCCGCTATTCGGCGAAAATATGTGAACATGCAGGCCTTCAAAAAACCGCTAAGATGCTTCCACATTGGTCCCGCGTGTAGCCTTAGTTCAAAATGTAGGGGGCCAAACGCACGTACATCGACGAGATCCACAGTTACATTGGTTGCCCAAACGCGTATGCGTAAAGCTGAACGACGGTAAAATCAGCAGAGGAAAAAAGATTCGGTTTAAGCATATCGAAAGGACGCTAAAAAGTTTCAAATATAATACAGAAAAGCTGTATGTGATCAGATACTTTCAACAAACCTTGGCAAGCTCTTCAGGGGATTATCACTATAGGCTTAGAGGTCTGATATAGTGAAGCTAGAATTAGTCCCGACCGCGGATGTACCCAGACTGTATGATGGAACACGTACCTGGGTCGCAGAGTCGAATGTTAAGGCGACTACCAAATTTATTAAGGTCTAGCTATTTATGTGACTATGCTATATATAAGGATAAGGCATAAAGTGAATAAATCATGTCTGTGCCAGTACCAGCATCAGTAAAGCGTCGATGCGATATGCATCAGCACAAAGTAGTTCCGATAGAAAAAGTTCGCGCTAGACCTCATAAAGTGTGAAGTTCGTGAAGAATAGAATCGGTTTCACAACGCCATACTGCTACACAATTCGCCTACAAAACGCCATTTCATATTTTTTCAATTTTCGTCATTAGTATACCTAGGCCTTTCCCAGATATTCTTTTGCTATTGAACTAGTACACATTCTAAGCGTTCACGTACTTCTACAGTGCGGTACAAGCCATTGCATTAAGGATCTTTTTTACCTAGATGTAAATCAATTCGTTTATTATTTGCACAGACACATCAACTAATATATCTATGCCTTTTCTGCTGTAACTCTAAAAGCCACTTTTCAGAGAACGTTAACCTACGTTAGCTATCTGGGTACGCGTCTATAATGCACGGCAATACGTAGACACTGTAAATCGTCGGAAGGTTACCCCTTTTCCATCGTTCATATTCATAGTTGCCCACACTAAACAAGGCTATAACTGCTATCAGTATCCGGCTTAACCCTCCAATAAAACAATTACATAAAAGTTCGTACCCTTTTCTCATTTAGAATCAAGAATGTTCGCACAAGTTCGTTGCTATCACATCTATTGGGACGTGGTGCTAAACGGTAATGAGAAAAACAGGAGTGACTTGCCACCTCATTCTCATAAAACAGAAATAGAAAAGCCTGTAGCAGCAATTGTCTCCTTTGTTTCCAACATTTGCCCCATCTAGCGTCAACGATCAGGTAACGGTAGTGTCCACGATTGGCAGACATGTGAGACTTGCTATTTGATCTATTTCGTTGGCAGTCGATTGGCGGACTGCCGGGATCTGCGGGGCTCTTGGTATATGTCCAAACGCCATGAGTCCATGCGGTGTTTTTTCATGTTTACGCCGATCTTTGCTTAACCGGCTCGGCATTCCCAATTAAATCGACCAGGGCAAAAAACATATGAAAAGATAAACACAACTATATACACACAAATGTTAAACGCCAACAACAAAATAAAGTAGCCTCGGAGAAGGGTAAACGCGGAGCTCGGTTATATAGACATCTGCCTATTTAGTTGTACTAATGAGAGAGGAAAAATGCAGATTACAACTTAAAATAGACCTATTCTTAGTTAGAAAATAGGTAGAAATAGATTTTATCGATAAAACATGTGTGTACGAAGTCCACAAGCTGACGACAACTAAAAAGAGCTGTTAGCTTTAATGGCGCTATGTTTATTTGATACTAAGTATCATGCCGACCTCCCCTGACCAGAGGGCGGATCAGTGGATAAACTCGGTAGGACATCTTCTGTTTTTAAAACTTAGCTTATCCTTACAGTAATGGTTATCTAATAAAACCGCGATTGCAACTCCAAGTTGGGCCTTAAGTCGCTTACAGGCTTGTTTCGAAATGCTTCCCTGCAAATGCCTTCTTGATGACAGGAATAAGCGGGTTCTCCTTCAATAACGCTCCATACACAGTGATCCAATAGGTTTAAATCCTGGCCTTTTTGTGGCCATGTGCACTCATCCCAGAAAAATTTGCTTGTATCCTTGAGCAGCCAACCTATCTTCTGATGGCAAAAATTAACTTTAAAGTTTTCACTGTTTCTTCATCGTGGGGTTTCCGTTGTCCTGCGCGGGGACCTATATCGGTTTTTTCTGCGGGGGCTTATACTCCTTTGTGCTGCAGGACACTTTGGGAGGATTTGAGTTAACCCAAGAAGCCCATAATCTCGAAGGTAATCTGCCTAGCGCATACGGGATGGACAGTAGCTGATCTTCGCTCAACTTACGACCAAGTAAACGTATGTAATAGTATGGATAGTAATGCGTCTGAACATCACCAAGGGTTTTGTTTCTGCATGCCTTACGGTACACCAATGAGCCTTCCAAAGATAGCTTTCCAGTCAGTCAAGATACTATACGAACTGTTGACAACTTCGTGGAAGGCATGGTAGATTGGTCAGTCGAGTTATACAAGTGACATAAAGTCTGTCTCGTGAGCGGATGCCTGCGGAGTCGTTCAATTAATTTCCCAGACAGATTTGAACATAAGGCACCGCTCCGGCCCGAAAAGCGGTCAGAGCATACGACGCGGACTATGGCCCAACGTGGTGCTTCCTTGGCGTGCGCTACTGCATTTCGTCTGTACATATATCGTAGAATGGTATATACTGAAAGGAACGTGCTTGCATCAACCGATGAAGGGTCGAGCATTTGTGGGCGTCAGCCTCACTTTCTTGCGGGAGCAGCGTTCGTTGTTTCACTGTTGACTTAAGAGTCGCTTTTTCATGATAATAATTATTTATCTTATTTAGCTATTTTTTAGGGATTTTTTTAGGAATTTAGCTATGCTAGCATAAACTAGATGATAACATGACTTGGAATTGTAGATACACTAAATCTAGAACATTGCTTATTGCCGTAGCTTGAAGGGGGTGGGGTGGGGTGGGGGGGGGTGGGGGGGCAAGTCTCCTCGGAATCTGGAACGACTACAAATTAGAAGCCCTAACTGGACTCGAAGACGGTGGCCGCTAGCGCCTCCTGCTTGTGCAATCACATCTGCACAAGGCCAGATAATCCATGCGGGTGCGGAAATGGTAAGCGCAAAATTTGTCCTAGCATATACTCTATTTGCGAGGGACCGCTGCCGAATCGCTTTCTGGTATCATTCGACACTCCTTGGAGACCCTGAACAATCCTTTCCCCAGCTATGTACATAGATTGCCTTGGTTCAAGACAGGAAAAAGAATTGATACGAGTGGAGGAGAAAAATTTCTTCCATTTTCTCTTATTTTCTCACATGGCTTCTTGCCTGCCTGCCTTAAAGTTTTTATCCGCTCGCTTATTCCTATGGGATATCAATTGCTTTCTACCGATGTGGGCCTCGGGTTTCCGCACTGGCTCAACTTACCCTTCCTATACGCTTATGCAGAATATCGTATTTTGCGATAAACATTTCTAAATTAAAGCAACACAATGGAGCAGGGACAGGGCAATGGTGGCACACTAATTTCTCGAAAAAAAGTGCTTTATGCAGTTGATTTGTACAGTAAGAAAAAGATCGCTGTAAAAGGCTGTTAGGAAACGGCGCAGGAAACAATATAGTTTTATTCTCCTAAACCGAATCAGAGTAAACCAGGCAATCGTTGCGCAGTCCATCCGACAATGACTAAAGGGAAAAATTAGCAAAAATCTAACGGAAAAGGACAGCAAAATAGGGTTTACAGAAGTTTCCACTTTTCACAGGTTGCCCATCTAGGGGTGCGTCATGTCTGCGCGGTGTTAAGCGAAGCATAGTGACTGATCATCTTTTCGTCGGGGAAGTTGTTGTGAAGACCGCTAACGACTTTCATTTATGTGCGCGGCTAGTTATTGGATAGACGTAACAACGAACATTATGCAATTAGTCGACTTGGGCATGCTTATCTAATGGTCTAAACGAGTCGTTGCACCATTCTAGTCATATGATGACTGCCTATTGCGTGTGGTTCATGTTGAATGTCTTAGTTAGGACATATACACCGCCATAATAGTAACAGATGTCAATTAGGGTGTCCAAATGAGCGATGGGCTATATGGAAAGTTAAGCGAAGGAAATCTCGTAACGTGTCGTAGAGAGAGGCCTTCGACACGCAAATGCGTACACATTTTCAAACGGCAAGAAGCTTTTAAATCTTATTAGACAGCAGTCGTCGTAGGGGCCCAAGAGATTTTACTTGCGGTTAAATACTTAATGTTTACTTCAACAGCATCTAAAATTAGCTATAGCCATCGATTGAGAACTGTCGACAGGACCCGTTTCAAAGCTGTGAGATAATATATACATTGAATAATTTATGTTTTGTCTCTAATGTAACCCATTTATCGAATCTTCGTTGTGATTTGTCTTCCAGCTGTGTTGCCATCTGCTCGACGTCGTTGTCACAGCAGATCATTGCGCAATATCGAGTTCGCAGCGTGATCACACTCATATGGACATTTTCATTACTGCTTATGAGTCCGATCGCCATTTACCAGGATCTAGTGCAAGCTACCCCAGATGTCCCCTGGCACAACTGCGTGGACAATTATCCAACACAGGCGAGCACCATTTAGGCATGATGTACATATATACTGTATATATATATAGACCGATTCATCGTCTTGTTTTCCCGCAGATCGCATGTCGGGCTTGGTAAGAGCCTCGGTCTTGTATTATTGTTTCGTTTCCACGAGGGAACCACAGATCGATCACATGCAGTCGAACTATCCGAACACAATCGGAAGGACCAAAACTATTGAATAAAGCGCGTGTAAACAAGAGCCGGCCATTTTGATTTGGCTAATTAATTTAATTTGACTTAGAAGTTGATGACGAATCCTAGTACAGATTTTCGCTATTAACTCAACGGCCCCGCTCGAGCCAGCAAAGCTTGCAAGGCTCTCTACGTAAATTACGAATCGCACCTAGTTTAACCTACCTATATTTGTTCATTATGAGCAAATAAACCCGAAATAAAGGTAAAATGAATCACTCTGTAGATCTAGCCGTAAGTATCTTTAGGATTCGTGGGGTGGTCAACAAACTTCCCCGTTGAAGTACATCAGGACTGAAATGTTCTTCGGATCCACATTTCAATTTTAATTGCAATCACAGAACTGTACATGGAAAAGTAACAATTTTTCTCTTTAGAAAGAAAATTAATGTTCACTGGATACTACGTTATTGCAACATTTTACAGTTGAATTCGTTTCTTATTACTGAAATGTAAGATCTGTAGATGTTTGAACTTTCAGATTTTTCCAAAGAGGCTAGACAATGCATTGGTCATATGGATAAACACGGCTTGTAACGTGGCCTTGGTACATTAATTAGGTTATATGGGCTTTCCGAGCGACACCTTCTCTAATCAGTGTTCAGTGTCACATCCTCACACTTAGACAGTGAAAATTCAATATGCTATCCTCACGCATTCGGATGTTTACCTTTTTGGTACAGCTATATCTTTAGCTTAGCTAAACCCACCCATTATCGCTTGAAGAATGGGGCAAATTAGTTTGCTTATGTACACATCATTGTGTGCCATAGCTAAAGCAGGGCTTCGGCAGTTGCTATTGTTATCGCTATCTTTGGCAATATTCTTCCTGTAGCGTAATCCACGCGAATGGATAATTTTCTCTTCCTAAAGAGGATCTACTTCGATCCCCATGGCTGTATGAGCTTGTTAGCTTTTAAACTAGTAAATTATCTGCGCCGAAAAACAAACGCAGCCAACCTTTCGTGGTTCCTTTTTTCTCCCGTTGTCGTTTCGGAATACACCCCATGTGGACACTACAGAGCGCCCTTGCCGTATTTCAATACGTCATACTAGCCGGGCACTGCATAAGCGTTCCGTACGTGTAACTTCGCCGTTTGTATCTTACCATTAGCATCATTTGCTTATCGCGGATCGGTGACCCGCTGACCCGTAGACGAGGCAGCAGCAACAGTGGCAGCCTATCTCTGCCTCTCAGGTACGGCTGGCTGATCATCACTGTTATTGCCTACGTCACTGACGTAGGCATCGTGATGACTTGTGTCAGCATTGATTCATTGCATTTTTATTATTGTATGCGTGTCGTGCTTATTAAGCACCGATGGACAAAACATAACTGTAAACGCAGTGAGGATAAGAGAAGGAAGTGAGAGAGAATTGGACGAACGAACGAAAGAAAAAGAGGCCGCATTCGTGTCGGTAGAAACGCGTGCGTAATAAGATAGCAGGTAAATTGACTGGTGTAAGATGCACTGAAAGAACACCACCCTCAATGTAGTAGCGCAAACGTGGATAATAGCAAGCTTCGTATATACAGTAATAATGTAACAACAGTATCAAAATACATTCTTGAGTGCGTTGCTATAAACAAGCGGCCATTGGTGGCCAAATCTCAGCCTAGAAAAAATTGTCACTACGCCGTTTCTTAGGTTTATTGGAGAAACCCCAAATTAGGCCAACAATCTTCATGACCCTCTAGTAAAGGCAAAGCCCTACAGACTACGCCAAAGAGGTGATTCCGAGAACCTCTTCGCACAGTAAGAATTGCCCAAAGCTTTAAAAAAAAGTAATCGAAACATTATATGTATATATAAAACGGACTAATGCGTAAATTTTATTTAGGGCCGATTATTTAGATGAAGCCATAATTAGCGCGTTACAACTTGGTGGCCGCGTCGTGGAGTGGACGAAATCACACGCGATTTCTTGGAGGCCGTAAAGCGCGGACAAACGGGACGTACAGCCTTGATTTTGATGCCAGCAAAGCAAAAAAAACGTAGATCATGGAGATAGGAAATCCTATAGCCGAAGAACAATGTCCTCAAGACCAATTGTGTGGGCGGGAAAATCCATTTGTTTCTCTGACTCAGTCACAGCGGCCCAGATCAGTTCGTACGTAAAATTAGTTTGTTTAGTCCGAGATTATTTGCTGAAAAGACCCCATACTAACGAAGTGTAACTTTTGGGAAGTGCGGAGGCTTTCGAGAATGGCATCTTGGAACGCAGTGGAAACGACTTTCGATTGTCGTTGTTAGCTTCGATAAGAAGCCCAGCCCGGTGGGGTGTAGGCATCATCCGACTAGGAAGTCTACCTTCTAGTGTGACTTATTAGTGAACCGGGAATCTTCATTTGTAAGCCACTGCGGCGGCGGCTACGAGTTCTCAATGGTCGCCGGTAGTAAGCGTAATCAAGGAAGGTTGTGAAGGTGACCGATTCAAAAGTATCAAGGGCACGTATTTGTTACTTTAGAGGGTAAGGGTTGCATCCGGTACTCGTACGGCACGTCGAATTGCTGGTGTATTTAAGCCCCGGCAAAGATCTTCTAAACGCCACAACGCATATGGAAAGCGAATTATTAAACGGAGGGGGCAGTCTGGCGTCGAGCTTAGGGCAAACTCGTGAACGAATGCTTTCGCTTAGAATACTTCTGGAATCAGCTATCAGTCACTACAAGGTGAATGTGAATCCTGTATGCAAAAGCTCCCACAATATAGAGTACCCAGTCGGTTTGCATCGAAGCACGAGAAACTATCCAATAAAAGCATCGCCGGCTATATATGTAGCTTCTACATAATTCATTTGAATAGGATCTATCGAAATACTCGGTCTGTTTATCTATCTGGCTTATGCCCAGATCCCACGATTGCAATTGCGGGGTGAGCGGATCCCGCCCGATAGCGATGGCACTGGTTGAGTGAAACGGACCAATATAAATACTTCATCACAATAAATGGTCTTCCAGCATTTACGGCGTAGTCGGAGAAAACAGACAAAGCTACAATCGGCGCATTGCAATATAATAATAATAAATACAATGATAATAATGAAAGACAATGATAATATAGTCTGACAATATAACCTATAAATGTGTGATATGAAAGAATCATTAGTTTTTGTTTATAATGATTACCTGTTTGGTTTTTCTTTTTGATGTTTTTTGCAGAAATTTCGAGTAGTGTTCAACACCGTAGCGTTATTTGCGTGTTGTTACGTCGTTCCACTTGTTGTTATTACAGGAACATACATCCTAATATTTGTTACTGTGTGGAAGCGCTCAATACCTGGGGAGTGCCTCAACAAGACATATACAGCGCAGTACGGTGGCAACCGGACGATGGCTCAGCGCTCGAAGCTCAAGGTTTATACGATGCCTGAAAAGACAGACAAGTACCTTATTACTAGCGAGACAAAGGACGACAAGCCTAGTTATTTATCGTAGCTCTAGGTATGTTTATGCCATAGTGTTTAATATAGATTCACAATGTACTGCAGGCGGGCCAGCTAAATTTCATAAGAGGTTGTACCGTGGCTCTGTGCGCCTGGATATAATAGTAGAAGGAGAATCGAGCCGTGATCGGAGCCAGACCATTACATGTACGTACGTGAGAGATAATGATGAAAATCGCCCATATTATTATGATAGTTGTAACGCTCGCTACGTTCTATAAGTTATTCTATTTAGTTTGGTCTACCACCAGACATATACGCATGTATGTATACATCTAAATTGTTTTATGAAGGTCATCCCCTACAATGGCAACCTTAGCGGGTTTAAATGTGAACGACGGACGCTCACCTTAGACTAATGGCGTCAAACGCCCAAACGATACGGGGTTCAACACAGCAGTTGGTTCAGAGGCGTATTCAAAAGAAGCAACTATAATCACGCCGGGCAGATTTCCAGCTAGGATCTTGGATCAAGGTCGTATAGAAAATGCTTCATATTGGTGAAGGCTGAGGAAAGAGTCAATCATACTTGATATTTCATTCACAAAAGATGAATCACATTATGACACACATTGATGTTAGAGAAATCGTTGCCCGTATGACATTCGTTATTATCGAAACAGGCCTGCAAGGCCAGCAAAAATATTCAACGAATACCTATGAAAGAAGAAAGAGATTAATAAAAAATAAGTAGATATTAAAAAGCAGGGTATCCGAGAGGTCGCTCTGCACGACTGGAAAATCATAATCTGCCCAGCTTCAACGTAAAAGTCATTATGCATAGTAATGAGAACCAGAGGCTATCCCCATAGCTGCTTTGAGGATTGTACAAGGTAAATGCTTACTGTCTTTTTAGAACATAGTGCAACGAAACAACTTAATTGTGGCCTTAATATATCATTACCATTAAAGCAAGCGTCTTACAGTGCACTCAATCCACCGACTAAAAATCGCGGCTACTGTAGACTCCATCAATCAGCCTATATTTACGTAAGGAACATTGTCGTCAATCCCAACGCGACGCCTTGTCGCTTGGACACAGCCAACGACAATGGTCGCTGTTTCGAATCTTTGAACCGGCAGTGCTATTTAAAAGCCAACTACTCTTAAAAGCTATTTAACGGTATTTCATAAAAAATACCCTTTAGTTGTCCAAAGTACCTTGGACTGTTATAACCTAAAAAATAAGACAGTGTACGCAATTCGTTGTGTAGCTAGCAAACAGTATAAACAAACGGACGACGCATGGGTCTGTGCGGATGTCCGAAAAAGACTCGATTTAAAAGTGGGTCCGAACCTGTCGTTTAACGCCAGTGCTCAATAGCTTCATCAAACCATTGACAGGCTGGCTACAAAATAGACGCTATGGACCGCTGTTCAGTGTTCACTCGAAAGGGAGGTGGGCGCGCAGTAACTGCGGCATTATTAAGTTCTTCTATTAAATAAGTGTTTTTTTATTTCGCATGTTACATACAATTATAGGTGGTCAAGATGATGGTATGTGTTGTGTCGACATTTTTTGTTTCCTGGGCTCCGCTCTACCTGGTTCATGGCTACATCCTTTTCTATGGTTATCCTGAAAATAATGAACAGGTATACTCGAATTCTATTCAACAGCGTAAACATATGTTGCGTAATACTTAGACACGGTCTATGGTATCCGGACTATTTAAGTTTAAAGTGAAAATTATCCATGGCTAATATCATTGATACGCACAAACAGATGCAGGCTATTTGCCTCAAAGTCATCCCCTTACACCACCATGTCATGGATCAGAGCTCCTTCCGACTGAATCGTGTTAATAACAGATTTAAAAGAAATTTACTTATGAACTAGTTCAAATCTGTGTCCTGAGGAAGGAAGTTCACAAAAATACATCATAAAATGTTTACATAAGCAGGTTATCTTAGACATATTGCAAAATATGTATTTCATTACGCTTGTATTTACAGATGGCCGCCTTTCTACAATTGGTGCTTCCGATCTCACAGTGGTTGGGGATGACTAACTCTTGTATCAACCCAATATTTTACGCGTATTTCAATCAAAGGTATAGTAGAATCAATATTTTGGTAACAGTTGGTACTTAAATCGTTTACAATTAATATCGACTAGGACTTGCCGACGCAGTAGATATTCTACGAGAAATGGAGTTGTAACTAGGTAGGCTTAATGCAATCATTCGTATACCTACACCACACAAACGTCAGTCCAACGACGTATTGCACCCGCCTGAGGCAAATTCCCTGGTAAGATGAATCAGACCAGCCTGAAGCTTGGCTGCGTTTAGCCGAGGATGAAGTCGTTTTGATAAAACGGGATCGCCGGGTCATAATGTGTCAGAGCGCCGAAGCGGATTTTAGAGATCAGTCGACTCGAACGTTGACACCAGTTGACGGGCTTAAGAAATGCGTAAAACTATAATTTTTTATTTCTTTGCTTTACACTGCGTATCTTCGATAATTTTACTTAATAATAACTCTATTGTATGCTAGAATCTTGACTAAACTCGTATTCCTATTGCCTAATCATCACAGCACTATTGCTTTTTGCATAATACTTATTCGACCCTTTTTTCTAACCCTCCCATACGGCTTTCGAATCTTGAGTTGGTATCTCTAGTTTTATTGTTTATGTTATCTGTTTCCGAGATCCGTTTGATAACGTAACCTATTTAATCAATCTGTCAACCTGTCCTTGTTGCAGTTTTTACGTCTTCAACTTTTTCTCTTCAAATATTTTTCTACGGCGAATTTCCGTGGATTCCGGTTGGGGCAATTCGTATGCTTTTGCCATATTTATTATTATTATTATTATTATAGAGCAGTCTCTGACCGCTACGAAAAAAGGGCTTGGCCAACAAACCCCACAGAGAAGCCTATCGCCCGAGGCTGAGTCTTCTCAAGCAGATTATTCTCTCAAAATAAATTATTGCTACTGCGAATGGGGCAACAATTTTGTAGGGTGTAGTATGATAAGACCCACGTGTGCACGGTCAGGAAGACGGTGTCGTTGCCCCTACATGGCGGAAATTCCGCTGGCTGGCTTCTATGGTACGTATGTGCTTGAATAAGGATCGTGTGTGGCATTATCGAAACAGGTCCGGAGTTTACATGTAAGGAAATTGTCGAGAGACCGTACAAAGTTGCTAATAAGCTGATCGAACTCTGAGCATATTATTATTGCACTCGCGAATGGCGGGTGTGCATCATGCATTGTAGTGGGCGCACAAAAAATTCGAAAGGCAAACCTGCGTTTGTACTCAAGTTCCCAGTTAATGTACATACGGAGGCAGATATATGCAACGATACATACAAGAATATCTATAAACGAAGAAAATGAATTTGATCAACGAGTATTATACGTCACATATATGGAATAAATAGCTGCATTGGAATAATGGTGGGGTTTGAAGAACAATCACGATTCAAACCTTTTATTGTAAAGGGAAAGACTTCTACGACATTGCGACACGTACAGTCAATTATATAAAACCGCTTCGAAATGTTAGGTATCTGTAAAAATACCCACGTTCGTAACTCTTTAGAAAAACGTTCTCTAAGTCTTACAGCAATACTTATAGCATTACCATTTGACGATGTAAAATATGTCGGAAAGATAAATCATCAAAACTGTTTTCTACTATTAAGAACTAAAATCGCGACGCTGCTTTAAAGTAATTTTAGTTTTCCAGCGAAGCGTTTGCCTTCAGTATCCTTCGGGTATCGATAGACGCGGACTGGTACGATGTTTGACATGAAAGGCAATAGAATCGAGGCGTCTGCTTGTCATCTGTCTGCTTGTGATGCCAAATATACCAGCATTTGTCATTGTCAACGAAAAGCCGGCGCGACGTTTACTTATTTGATTGCAACCATGGCGGCAGCCGTAGATTTTTGTGTGTATTCAAAATATGTACGTATATCTGCGATGACCTTCTGCGTGATGGTGGCATATTGAACGAAAATAGCATTTGAGTTTATAGTAAGGTTCATAGCTATTGTCCATACTTAGATTTGTTAAAGTTCTATCGGGTTATCTTCTAGGCTCGGAACACGCACAGGCTGCTATACAAGGTTTCCGCTAAGAGGAAGCTAACATCTTATAGCTTCAATATTTGCATCCCCATTAGAGCAGAGTTACCATTTTTGTACATTTTGTCCGAAACTAATTTGGTATCACGAAATTGTCCCGAGATCTTTCCACTGAATCGATATAACTTTCGTACTAGTGGCGTAACTTTGACAAAAGTTTCCTGTCATTTGGACAGAAGTTTCAAGAAAAAAGTCTTCTATAATGAAACAGCAAAAAAAGACCACGCCTACATTCCCATACTTGAAAAGACCTCTACACCGAAAGGCACTAAGGTGCATTTTTCTATGACGATACACTTGCTACATTCTACTTCCTATTGAGCCTTATCATTAGATATTCTTGAAATTCATCTTCATGAGATATTCTTGAAGGATCATCCAACTTTAATAGCTTCGCTGAGCAGGACGTTACACAAAATATCGAAATTTTCAGCCTGATTCATGATACTTAAATAAGCTGTATCCCTTCGTCTGGCGTACTGTTACTGCTTTTTGAGCTAATTTCGATTGGCCGATTTTCCCATAGTTAGACAGCGCAATGCGTTCTTATCTCAAACGCAACGTCCTCGACTAAGTACATATATACTTACATTAACGTTATTTGTTTTAATGATTCCACAGTCAACGTCGTAGAGTCTGAGGGCGGGGGCTCGGACCTTTCGCATGTATAAGTGCGCCCGTAATTTTTGAAGCGGTTGAAAAGGCAATCATAGTAAGGTGGCGTACTTCTTCGAGCCGCTAGGTGAATAACGAAATCGACCCAGACTGAAAAAGCTCGTTTTTGGCCCTCCTCTGGTATAGGGTCGTACGGTTTTGGCCTAAGCCGGCTATTCCCATCCTAAGTTGCAGTCGCACCTGCTCGGCAGGACCAACAAGCCGGTTTAAGTTGTTGCCCATCAAAAAGTTCGATGGTTATTTATCATCTTTACTAACTGAAAGTTTTTAATAGCTAATAAACCTTTTGCGTTGACACTACATCTTTGATCCTTCAAGGAACTTACGCCCATTTCTACACCGCATAAAGGCTAGTAAACGAAACGATTGCGTGTACGATTCGAAACCGATCTTTTCCAGTTGTTACTCGGCATCAGTAAGATTATAATGATACACATACTACACATATCGAAATATGAATGAAATGCGTATCTAAAATTGTCAGCTCCTGCACGGACGTTAGTCTTAATTAACACCCTTGGGTTAACCCCACTCCGGCGTTGTTCGAAAAAGACTGTTACAACATGATTTGTTCCGAATTAGCTTACCTTCTACTAGCCCCTCTCTACATCCAAACTTACTAGCTGAACCGAGAGGGTCTGTTCCTAAAAGTGGGTTGATAATACACAGTCTTAGTGTATCCACGCAGTTTGGCGAAATATCTGATGTGGCTTTTGGTACTTGGTTAGAATGGGCACGTGCACCAAGATTCATTTAAGGCTCGGTCGAACGGCCTTTGAAATTTGCCCCAGGGGCAAGACGTACTGCACCGCTAAATCGTATAGATTCCACTCCTGGAGGTTAGCTGACCATGATTGCCTGTTGTTCGCTTTTTGTAGTCCTGTTCTCTACACATAACCAAAACAATTCAAGTGATCAATGACGAGGATGGAAACTCTAGAAGCCATTACGGCACACGCCTCATTCTTTGGCTAGTAGCGGGTTACCCTAAGCTTTTAGAGCATCATAAAGGTAAAAAGAAGAGGTTTTCCAAGGGATGCTTCAAACAAGCTTATCACACAAGTATATAGTACATGAGACCTTCTGGTTCTTGACAACAAAGCTCAAAGCGAAATTAAACATGGAATGCCTTTTTAAATGTAAAATTCAGCGCATGGAGTTATTCGTTCAAGGCATAAATGGATCTTTGATCCTATAGACACGTATCCCGTTACTAACACAACGCTGTTAGCCGTGATAAAATCGATTTTTTGAGTTTTGCGCTCGTCGTTAAGCGTTGAGTCAGACGGCCGGCTGTCGGCACAAAATGAAAAGTATGCCGAGGTTTTAATCTAAACCACCATGTGAGCTAACACGTTACTACAACATTATCACGCTTTTTACAGTAATAATAGTAATCATGTTAATTTCTATTTTTTTTTTCTCAAACTTTTTTCTAAGTTTCTAATTTTTTTTTCATAAAGCATTTAAGAAAGTTCGAAAAATAGCACTGAAATGTGTATAAACTAGACGTTAGTGGTTTATAACTGTATCAATATTTAATGACTGGCAAACATTGGAATGGCCTTGCCCTGCAGTTCCGGATAAAAAAAGGGTGAACGTAGTTAGCTCTTTCACAACTTAGCTCGCTCATAATTTTTTTTCTTTTTTCGTAAATGCCAATAAAGTGTAAATCTGCTCATTCATGAACTAATTCGATACATTATACACACCTTCATACGATAGCCTAATAACAATGCCAACTGGGCGATTAGAATAAAATGGTCATTTAATGGAATTCTTATAAACAAGTTCAAAAATCACCACACACCCAACAATAACGCCTAACGAGTAACAACATTTCTATATGTCTCACGTAAAAAAATCACTGAAATTAAGAACGTTTCGAGTCATTTAGAAATCAATTGCACAGGGCTTCTTAATGAGATTTAGCGTGTACGTGAATGAATGTATCGTCTTATTTTTTGCTTTTGATTTAGTTCCAGTAAAAGTTTCATTGATGGAAAGAAAACCAAGACGTGGACTGAATCATTTTATAAGTTATTATAGTTAGATTATAAATTCATAGTGTACTGCATATTCGTAAAGATACATGGACAGTTGCTGGCAGAGAACTTTTACATATATGATATTGAAAGATACGCAAGAAGATAAAAATGAATATGATGACGTTTGAGTTTAGAGAACATATTTAAAAACAAAACAGCTTATCCAGCGGTACGAAACGCTGAACGTCTTACATACGCCGCTGTACAGCTAATTTATTATATGAACGACAAAAAACCAATCACATACGACTTATTAGGACGTAAATATAAATTATTCCATTCATATGTTGGCCTTTTGAAACTGAATACGGGAACGAAGCATGTCTGAGATTCTATCGCACACGCTTTCTCTATATGTATCCGTAATACTCTACTACTACTGAAGAATCAATGAAGCTCTGTAAGTGTCTCCTCCCAAACTGCGTTTGCAAGCCGTACCGTTTTCGTAACCACTTCAAAATTAGATTACGCCTCATCGATTCGTCCACTTGAACATCTGAGGTCTATTTTACTGCTGATACGCTGAGAAAGGCGTACAAACGTTTTAGTGGTTACACAATGAAACGACAAAAGCCCCTATCATAATAAAGGCAATTAGAGAATCAACAGCGATAAACCACTTTCAACGTTTCATGATTGATTCGTCGACTTCGTTTGAACAGCATGCTTGTGTGTCTAATGAGAGAAGCTTAACAGAAGACACACCAGCGTAACCACGCTATGCGAATGTCGAGGAATCCTTAGGGCGTTGGTTCAGCCGACGAGCTGCCTATGCGGACCACGATCCGGGTCAAGCAATAGCATAAAAGTTCCCTACTAAAACTTACTTTTGATCGGTTGTTGGCTAGCGTTTTTTGCTTAAATGTGCCGCCTCGATACGATGAATAACAGTAATTTGCCCTAACGCCTCCTTGACGAGCAAGTTCTAGTTGGTGAATGAATCAAATCTATCCCGACTGGAAAAAAAACACCCGCTCTAATGTCTGCATGCCCTAAACACAACCTAGAGACCATTACCACTTGTAGAAGTATGGCTGCTACGGGCACGAGCTAAGGCGGCCCAAGGAAAATAGGTCAGCATTAGCCAAACCAGAGGGATAACGCTAGGCTCGCTGAGGCCTTGCCTCCACTCAGGCCAGATGGATTCACTGCCCCAACTTGATTTCTTCGAAGGCTCGCTTAAACGCGACAGCGGGACGAACAAAATAGCATTTTCGTTTCGTTGGCCCGCACGTTCGCTCCCGTTTTGCCTAACGCTTTCCGCTTTCATCAGACAAATGAAATCGCACCTGTCGGTCACGAACGGGACTAGTTCTTGCCGGCCTTGAAAGTCGTTGACGGGCGACTTTCACCGCTTACTAGCGGCGACGCTAGCCGACCGCGTCCAAATACTTTACTTTCGCATACTTTGCTTGACACACAGTGAAACACAGTGGAGTAATTGGCGTAACGCTTTGACAGCGCAACGGCCATTGTGCACAATGTCTGTATTGTGCGGCACGTAGTGCAGCTTACCCAGTGGGATGCTGGTATTTACAGTAGCTGTTAACAACAACTAGCAGTGGTAAAGGTGGGAGTGAACACCTTGAGAAACGTTGCAGCGACAGACGACGGGCGTGAAGTACTCGACATTCTTAAGGACCTACAATAATCGCCCGGTGTTTCTGTCCAGACTCACTCAACAACCCGGGCCAAAGGATGTCACTGTCGGGCAGAAGCCTTGTCCAGGGCACTTCACCAAACAATACGAAAACAAAACAACTCAACAATTGAAGCGTCGTCGAGCTCTTTTTCATCATTTCGCGGGCAAGTGTCATAAAAGGCTGCGTTATTTACGAAGCCCTTGAAAAGGTTCTCTTCGGTTCGGCTTTGGGCGATTTAATAAAACATTGTGTTTTAACTTAAAATATTCGAACCTGTAGTGCGGGACAACATGGATGAAGCTTGTAGCGCTCGAGAGGGTAGTAGTAAGAGAAGGTCGTAGTCTGATAGCAACCAAGTATGGCCCAAGATGCCGCACAGGCCAAACCGGACTGGAAAACAATCAGCAAAGAAAAACTGCACAAAAAATTACCTTTGAAGAGATCAGAAAAAATGTCCTTTGTAACGCTAACCTCGAAAGGGTGACATCGAGAAGAACTAGGGGAATGGAGATAAATAATTGTAAACACGACGCAAATGATTGAGTTGCGTTTGAATTAATGTTCATATAATTTATCAACGTATAAAAATGTCTGTAGTAGTAGTAGTAGTAGTTCATAACCACGTAGTTTAGATCGACATCCATAACGAATAAATAAATTGGGGGAGTAAAAAATACTTATAGGAGAAGAGACTAGACCGATCTTTGATTTGATTATATGTGTTTGTCTAATTCAATGGATAGGGCTTGGCAATGGCGTTGCTAGAGGCTTGGGCGGCTCTTTTTTTTTCTCGCAACTTAAAAAGCTGGCCATTATGATGTTTGGCGATGCGAGATTTTAACATATGTCGCACGATCAGCAGTCGTCAATCGTGGAAAAGCTATTCCGATCTGTTCCTGCCCTCAAACTGACTAGTGAATTCAACCATTATTTTTTACCGTAAAAAAACTATTCAGGGTCAACGAAGAACTGTTAAAACCTTTGCGAAAATAGGTCGTAGTTTAAAAATCGAAAGTCGAAGATAGACGATGCTATGGACCTCTAACACACTCGAAACGCAGTCTTAGGTTTAGGCCAGAAATATGTACGACGATTATAATCAATGGCAATTACTGAAACTAAAATAAGTATTTTGAGTTCGATAGGCAGAAAATGCAACATTTCTTTGAAAATATGTTCGTTAACATTCAGCTTGATTTAAAAGATTACGGGGTACTCATTGTTCTTGCCAGCGCAGCTTGCCAAATCTCATATCTAACTGGGGCTATTTCGCTAACGTTGAGGCCTTCTAGCCCCGACATTTACGACGACGACGAGGGCCTTGACGTTGTATCAGTAAACAGGTTTTGTATTTACGTATGAAAAAGCACTTGTTTGTCAAGGTACTTTAGTTACAAAGAACGAGAAGGAAAGAATCAAGGAACATGCTCGATGTAGAGTAATACGCATAATTCGCACATGCGTTAGGATGGGTTGTTATGCATAAACTATTTCTATACGAAAATATCTAGCAATTTTTCGTAAGAGATACAGAAAGCTCTATAGTGTAACATGTCCACGAGACAGTAATGGCTTCTTGGTAATTCATCGACGAAGTAAGCCGTTTGTATCGGGTACGTGACAGCGAGCCGATGGAGATGTATCGAAGTGTCTTGATTGGCTCGTTTCTGCCGTGATATTCGCTGTTGTCATGTTAGGGAAGGAATCCAGTTCGTCCGTATCTCTGAGAATATACTATGTTACGAGCTTCCAGGGCCGCTGCGTGGCTACTGATGTTATCAGGTCACGCAGAGATATCGCATTGCCTTTAATTTCGAACGTAATGGTATTATATCGTCAAGCTTTAGCTTAAAATATATCAACGTAGTTTTACCTTAGCGAACTGACTTACGTACGTTAGCTGATCCTCATTAATTTTTATTCATTTATCCTTTAGTTAGTCCTAAGAATGAATGCGGTACCTAATTTTGATGATACTCCAACAAAAAGTATAGGAACTGCGGTAAGAGCTTCAACATAAGCTAGCCTTCGACAACCGTAAATCAAATCCGTGAATATATCATTTACTTATAGAAGCAATCGACAATGAAAAGTGTCAGAAAAATTAAAATTTGTAAGTGAAATATTTTAGAAAAGATCTTTGTAGCGGATGCCCCTGGCGGGGATAAAGTTTTCCAAATTAATTAGCCAATAAGATAGCCAATTGTTTAGCAAATATAATTTTAGCCTTTACCCCCAGAATTTAAATCTTCACTTCATTTAATTGATCATTGCATTCCGTTCAATTATTTACTATTTAAACCAATTGAATGTTTATGTATAAAATACGTTTATGTAAGGTCGACATGGCTTTGCACTAACCTTTTTATACTGACGTATAATCTATCGTCGTTTGTAATAGTGTTGACATGAGGTAAATTTTAATGATGCCAAACTTTATGCGTTATCGAAAGAAAAGTTTAGTTTTATTAAAGATACGCAGGTGGTATTAGTTTTCGTTCAAAGTAAATGTTTTTGACTGCAACGGTTAGGAGCACGCTAGAGTGATTAAGGCTGTTAAATAGAAAAGCTGTGCATACACACAAATCTTACGTATGCATTTCTTTATCGTCATGATTACAGGTTTCGACATGGTTTTGCCGTTATCCTTGGACGGAGAGACCGTTCCCAAGGTTTTCGAGATCAGCGGACCCGGCAGCATAAATGGACAATGCCAAACGCTTCGCATGCAGCCGTACCTGGCGACGATGATGAGTTGATTAATCCGGACCTTGTAGCGATACGAATTGAGACAAGCTTCTAAAACAATGGTAGAAGCTTACGGAACCCGCTTGGGCTAGGCGGGGTACGATTATAGCAGACGATAGTGGCGGCGACTCGTCATCTGCTCATCACAACAATCATACGATGGTCGTGGCGCGACAGACACCTTTGGTGCGACATGGAGCCAACTATGGGCAACGTTGACTATGCGGAAATAACGAATTGGCGAAACAAACGGCGATCTACGATATTTTGAGTAATACTGCACTAAGTGGAACAGGTGCAGTTTACGCTGAGCATCTGCTCACCTAACGATAATCTAATGATGTCTTGATGAGCCAATCCAATTGCTGTTTATTAATGAGTCTATAATATTATTGTTATATAACAGCACACCGCCGATAGATCTCGGTTGCGTAGTATGTCAGGTAAGCATAGAAGCAACGATTATGTTTTTGGGAAATGCGAATTATATGCGCTGGCCGCGATGATACTTCCTTTTTTGTCAGAGCATTGCGTCTTTCATTGTTCATTGAGTTGCATAGAGTGTTATATATGGTAAATGTAAAGCGGAAGTACGACTTTCTGATTTGTTTAGGGGGCGATACAAATCGGACGTTATTGAACAAACGTGACAAAATTTCACTCATCTCTGAGTGGCACAGAAAGATTTACTAACCTAATGACCTGAAGGATCGGAGCACCGCAGACAGCATAATTTGACGTGTTGCAACTTCACAGAATGATTCTATTATCTAACGGTTAATGTAGCGCGGTCCTTGGGGGTCCGCTAGATTTCGTGCATCCTACATATTTTTGGAGACCGGCATCTTAGTTAAATAATACGTATGTTCTCGATAGAAACAATGTTTAGAACTGCATCGTAAAGGAACTTGTAAACCAATGTTGGTAAAGGTAAATATGATCGGACCTGGTAATCCACCGAAACTTAACTACGGCGTGATACTTAGAGGTCGCTAGTATATGATTATCATGATGCATTAAAGTTAGAACTGGCAATAATGCGTTTTCAAGATTATAGCTTATAACTTCTGCCATTGTTGGGTGCACATATCTGCAAAAGTTGTCTGTGTCACTTCGTGCATGCATCGGTTATTAGTAAAGTACTTTGGTATTGGAAGTAAGTGTTAACTGACATGTGAAAACTTTGTAAACTCATTCATTTTTCATAACAAGTTTATCTGAGTGATGAGAAGTAAGAAAAAAGGTATACATCTACAATGGATATTAGAAGTATTAATAAGGAAACATTACACAGGGTTCTGAAAAATGAAGCGCAAGCGCACTGAAGAAATTTCTAGTTAATGTACAATTAGTTAGAGGATTGTAATCATCACCACTAGGCGTAATTCGTGGTGCACAGCTTATAAATTAACTAAATGGGCATTTTGAGCTTTATGTTCGGTAGCGCCTTTAACTATGAGTTAACTAATGGACATCTAGAAATGACAAGAATGTATTATAACTTCTGTTATTAAACTCCTCAAATACTCCTTGTATACATGTAAGTTTTAACTTCATCAAACGTCTGCGGAAAGCGTCAGATAAATCTGGATACTTTTTTAATCTGAATTTCCTCTATGTATAATGGCCCAAATAGCAATCTCTATATTAGAGAGAGCCAAACCTTTCTAGAATTAATCCACACAGTTGTTATAGCTTGGTAGGAGAGTCCTATTCGATTAACGGGCTAAAAGTATAGTTTTATTGGAAACCCTTGCGAAAGAAGCATCGTAGGTAAAATCATAAAAGCTTTCTGTCGTGCGAAATCCACGACCTACGAGGCTGCCACTTGCTCGCATACCCGTTTAGAATCCGAGGAGGTTTGTTATGCACAAGCTGAAAAATCTACTAAACAAAAATGACGATTTAAGAGACGATCCAAAAAAATGTGCGAAAAAGGCATAAAAGAGCTTACCTGATTATGTTATGTTGATATTTAGATTTGGAGTTCAATTCCTCCGCGATTCGTAGAAACTAGAATGTTGTTCAGTTAATGTCGACCTCAGACACATGCCTAATATCATCTAAATTTAACAGATGCCTTTTGATAATCTTGAGGTAAAGGACCCTTTGTTACTATGTTTTTTTAAGCATTGGTAAGTGTCAAACGTTCGGCCTTCCAGAGAAAAAAATCGCTGAAGTTAATGCAGAAGTCAGTCAAATGAACAGCTGTTGATTCGTCCGCTTAATTCAATCTAGTTGCGAGATCGTGGACCAACGCTGTATCGCAGGAAAATCGCATGCTTTCCAAGAAAAATGGTTCGAAAAAGCCATTCACTTAACATCTCACTTTCTCATTACTTATATATATATATATATATATATATATATACATTATTTTTCTAAGGACAAGGGATGTAGTATCCAGGGGTCAAAATTAAACAAGAGGTACGTGCCCAAACTAGACGCCAACGTGCTCCACCCGCTTATGGCCGTAATCAAGATGTGTCTTTTTTGCTAATCTAAAAAAGCGATTATAAACAAAGCTTTTACGCGCGGTTTCAGTGAAGAACCAATACTATTATTAGGCTAGCTATGGCTGCATCGAATGGGTCTGCTGGAATAATAAACGAAACTGTAGGCACTTCTCATTTAGAATGAAATATATGATTGTGTGAATTATTTGCGCGTCGACTGCTTTGCGTTTAGCTGATGCATCCTGTAGATTTGAATTGTTCTACATGAGTGTTCCTAAATGACGTACAGAAAAGTCAATCACTGCTGAACACTGCTGCGTCGTTCTTTGTGTGAGACAAGCGGGACTGACCTGTAAATCCAATTTCTAAAATAGAGTATAGATCCCTGAAGAAGATTCTCTTTTTTTTTTAATTGACTATTGCTCATGGTGGTATTTAAGGTGCGTTTTAGGGTGTGCTGTTGATTACGAGTGTCCTTGAGATTATATTTAGCAGTATAAACTATAAGGAGCAATAAACCTTCCTGTTTTGAAGACACTGTCTATTTGTAATTCATAATATAAGCTATACCCGTAAAGGCTTAAACGTTTCGTGTCAAATGCAGTCTTAGGTGCTTCTTTGTCTGGCATTGTTATCATAGTAGTCTCTATCCATACACATGAGCGAAAATCCCAGAACAAAGAGTCGCTTCATGCTTGTTGCGATTGTTTTTCGTGGCTACTGCTTTAAAGATCTTTCAGCAAATTTTAAAAATTAGGGAACTTCGTACTTCCTGCTTTACTTTACGTCGCAACGGTCCTGATAGTGGAAATTACATGGGGGATGATGCCTAGGTAAGAAACGTTGCACATGCAGGAAAGATTGATTTAAGATCCTTGCCCCGACTGAAGAAATTGCCAGCAAGCGACAAAGGAAAAAGAGACCGATATTCTGTAGTATTTCACCTCATCTGTTGCAAAATTGTAGCAGATGTCGACTAATAAGATGGATTACGGTATCGTTTCGCCTGCTGGTAAGTGCCACGACTGCTGAACTGAAAGTTTGCATTGGTTTCCAACGCATCCATCCTCAACCTAAATATGATCTCATTTAACTAGATTCGGCTAACCAAACAAAAATTAAACAGAAAAAAAAATTGAGATAATAGGACTTAAGCATACGATTGGCGTATGAGTGATTCTGCATGCGTTCGCAGTTTCGGGCGATACAGGGTTGTTGAGGGTGTATCAGTTACGTAATGACTAAAGAAAAAAAATGACCAATCCGTCCTTCAAAAGCTCTAGGCTTTATCTCCTTCGCAGTGACTAACAGACATAAAAACATAATTTTCTAAGATATGAATAAACTGTTGATATTTATGTTTGATTTCATACAAAAAAACTTTTAAAGAACCCTATCTACTTTTATGGTGACGGACACTTGTAAAACCGGGCTTTATCCTTCTTTTCATGCAATTCTGCAAGATTTAAAAACTGGCAGGATCGCTATTTTAGATCAACAAAGAATGACTCTTACACTCATTGCAGAAGGTAAAGGTCAGTAAGAATGGCATATTGCTAAGATTATTGAATGGGAGATATTTAGCTATTTAGTTCATAGTCACGAATCAACTCGAAGTCTGTTTCGTACTACTTCAGGCCAAAGATGTGCTCCGTGTCAAAGGTTCAAACATGTCAAAGGTTAACGCCGGAAATGCTTCCGTGTAGTTTCATTGGTTTCAAACTATAAGCATCCTTTACACTTACTATTTGACAGATTTGGAAAATTAGAGACATCAGCTTGGCATGGAGAGCAAAGGATGTTATGGACAGATATATATTACATTATTAATACCCGTTAGAACATACAATGTCTTTGATGCAGGCCTCATCGCAGTTGTCAAAAACAAAGAACGAAATCTAGAATCCGTTACGTACATATCAGCGGAGGAAATTATTACGGTTACCACACAGAGAACCCAATTGACTTGTGAATAATAAAACGTAGGCATTATATTAGAATGGGTTTACTATCAATTCAATGTTTATTAAGCCTTAAATATGAAAAATATGCAATATCTTATTATACGTAAAATATGATCAGCTTAGGCGTTCATTATGCAATTAAATTCAATACGTGAAATCGTTTATCGATTTGTGTTGAAAATCTACGAAATGTGTTGAAAAAATTGACGCTAGATTGTAGTTTATTTAGGAAATACCTTATTCATGTGATAGGACCCTTTATTTGGTACTATTTCGTTATTTATACTTATGCCAACATGTTCGACATATTTCGGGTAATTTTTTTGCTTAAACTTTACAGTTGACCTTGCAACTGTACTGACTATACAACCGATGCTCCACTTACACGAGAAAGCTCTTTTTATGTTTAATTAGAAATATTATTAGTATTAATAATAATTCTAAATATTAGTATTTATGCCATGTTCTCTTTTAGGTAAAAGACATGTTTTTTTTTTTATCTCACTGTCTGTTTTATAAGGTTTTTCGTAAAGAATCCCATAAGCTTTCAAAGCTTTGCTTCATTTTTTGAAATTCCGTACGTGTTCGATTTTTTTTCGGAGTTTTAGGTTCTGTATGTACGTATATATATATATATATATACATAGATAGCGGATAATTTTTACTTGATGATGAAATGAATTGGCAAGAGACTATAAGAAATATTCCTTAGAACTCCTTAAATAGATAGGACCAAAGGGCGTCAAGAAGAATTAGAAAGTATAGAGCAGCCGGTTGAACCGCATGACCTGCAAACTTCTTGAAGTAGCGGACAGCAATATTAACGTCGCTTGCTATAACTTCGACTACAAAAGCAGGACTTTGAGGTGAGAGTGCCATTTTGTATACGGCTATGTCAGTAAGTTTTGGGATATAAGATTCGTTAAAGCCATCCTAACAAAGAAAATTTATTTGGCGACCGAAACGCAAACTTGAGTAATTACGTGTTCAAATAAGGAGTCACAAGCTAAAGTGGAACTGGCAAGTTATAAAGACAACGACGTCTACTTGAAGAATTGCATGCGAAGGGAAGAGGACGTACTAACTGATGATACCGGCTGTGATAAAACATTTAAGGTAACTTCTATCCGCATTAAAACAAATGGTTAATAAAACCGTTATTTTTTTTCGTTAGAAAAAGATTGATGGGATCGTTGGATGAGACGCTCATCATAAGCTGTTCATATCTTGCATTTTAAATTCTCAAAAGCCTTTGTAACTTGGATAGAGAGAATCGAATTGCGCTTGCGTGGTACTTCCGTTGTCAACTGTAAATATGGGCACATTCGCAAACCGTACTTGAGATTTTACTATGCAACATGAACCGGACGTCCTTATCTGGTAAGATCATTCTCTTTGACTTTCATTAACCACAACGAATGACCGACCAACCAACAATATTGTGAGTTGCTCTCTTCATAGGCAAACTCCCAGTCAACTGTCAAGGTATTGTCAGAAGTTCCTACAAATCTCAGGAAACCATTCGTGGTCAAATTGCATGGAAGGAAATGCATGCAGGAAAAGCAGAATGCGAGATAGTTTGACGAATTGTCGTAAGTCGACGCTCAAGCTGAATGTGCTTGCTGGAAAATTTTATCCGGAAATGTCGAAAAAATAATTGCTCTTATAGAATCCGTTCCCTGGGTCAACTCCTGGGTATATGCTTTCGCTATAAAGCATAGACAAACGGTGGATTGATCGAGCGTAGCCTGGATAATGTTTTTGTCATGAATGCTCTATGTTAGTCAGAATTCTAAGTGTTTTTAACAGATCGATTTTGTATCTTCAACAAGCGCTCCTTGCACAGCCTGCAACGGCAAATGACTGGCGAAAGTTTGTATTGGCTCCATTTGGATCAGACCATAACAGCTGTTACAAAACACTGGTTATGAACGGGAATAATGCGTAAAGTAAGGCCAACAAAATATTAAATGGACCCCTGATTTTAATATGAAATATTATCGTATTGTGTCCTGCTACTTTTGTCCTTTTCTACTCAAAAGACGCTAGGAACACGTATGTACGCTTTTATCACACCAAGGTTGGGTGACTTGAACAGAAACTATCAATGCCAGCTCTGAGCGCGATTTCAATATGTATAGGAAGCCATTAAACAGTAACATATTAGTGATAGAAAATAACTCATTTAATAGAGTTCTTTCATGGTAAACATCAAAATGCGATTCTGCAAAATATCAAGGTATATGTTTCCGTTATTTAGTTGACAATAATAGCGAGTCCCGCACACTTACATTTCCTTCGAATTGCACGAAGGGGCAGATACGGTAAAACATCAAATGGGTATACGAAATTATTACAAGCGAATTTCTCTAAGTACTGCCCCTCTTTTTTTTTCGCTGCTCAAGGTCTAATGATTTCACCTAAAGCAAATTTTTGCAAGCATTCATTAATGTGGTATGCCTTACATGAGCTTTGTCGGCTTCAAGGAATAATCGATGCTATACTCACGTTGAAAACCCTTTTAGCAACACGAGTTTACAATACAGACTGTTGTTCATAAAACGATCTAATATTCAAAACGAGTTTGAGTAATGAAAGGAGTAATCGTCACCTAACTTCTCAATTAATTCTTTCAGTTAAAGGCAAGATTTTCGAGAAAATATCATTGCCACCCTGAATTGCTATCCATTATTTTGTTTCTGTCTTTTGATTGTTTTTAATTGAAGTGCCACTCACCATAGATTGGGGCCACATAAATATTCTGGAATTTTCTGTCGGTTCTCAATTCTGTCTTTGTTTCAACTTATGTGAGCTGACGAAATTTTCAGTGACCGATTCTGAGTGAGCGTATATATCCGTGAATGTGTGTGTTTCTATAAAAACGCGTAATTGTGTTAGTATAGAGTGCGATAATATCAACCGAGTATATGGATTCACATTGTAATGAGGACAGGGCAGAGTTTGTTTGACGATACGCCTGTTTTAGCATTGTCTGTCGCGTATTTCTAGTAATACATGATCAAATTGGCGTTCATTTATAGCTGAGGTTTCTGGCGACTGCAGTTATACACATAAGCTTAGTGAGAATGACATGTGCGCCTTAGGCAAGCGGGTAGTGGACATGAAGTTATCTGGGCAAACTTAATGTAATGACGATTTTATTTTTAAGAGTTAGTGAATAAGTTCGCCACTCGGCGGGCTTCTGAGGACATTCACAGCTAACCAGACGGTATGGATAGTTAAAGAGTGGTCAATATCAGCATCTCAGGTGGTAGACACAATACCAGGTACCCTGGCATGGACATTTTCAAAGCTGGTAGTCATTGAAGAGCTACCAAAGATACCAATATCGATTGTTGAGGGCTTTTCGTTTCCAATTCTAATTATCAATAGGGTGCTTCTCGTTCTACTTATCGCTATTGATCTACATGGCTATGCAAGACGCAATGATACTAGAACCCTATATTGTAAAGTTAGACGAACATTACAAAGTTCTCCCGTGCCATGCTAAGGCCCAGTATGCCTTTGTTATGAACAATGGACATCAAAAAAGA